CCCCCGCGGCCCCGGTTGCTCCTTTGGAGTCGGGGAGGACGGGATGGGCGGCGAACCTTCCCCCGCTCGGCCTTCACCCCTTAGCTTTTTTGTCTCACCAAAGCCTCTCAGCCAAAAAAAGCTCCCTACTGCTGTGCCATTGACACCGTGGGGTCGCTCGCTGCCTCTGTCGTCCGTCCCCCCCCTCTCCCGCCGCCCATTGAAGGCTGCCCCCGCTCCATTATTCCAAACTGCAACTGAAAATACCGATGGGGACACCACCTCCCTGCATCTCCTCCGCTCTCTCCATCCATCCACCTCGCCACAGGCGACCAAGCTCCTGGCCATCCCTGGCTTTAGCCAAATCGGTCCCTGTCCTAAAGCGCTCGCTCCGAGGCTGAGACTTGTTGCGTCCCTTTTAGAGTTTGATTAATTACCCTGGAACTTAAGCAAACTAAAGTCCATGTGGCGAAGAAGCTCGTGCCTACAGTTTGGTCCTGCAGCCTACCAGTTACACGGGTGACCGTTACACTCTCGTGCACATGGGAACAAGCATCTCTGCGCCTCAAAAAGGTATCCCTGTATAAATATATAGAAGTATCGCTTTTGCTGCAGCTTGAAGATGTTGATCATTTATTACAAAAATAAACGAATAAATACAACAATATATTGTTGCTTTCAACAGGATAAATATTTTACAAATATATAATTTAAAAAAACAAATTTAATTGTTAAAATTATTTAAAATATTACACTTATTGATAAAATTATCAATAGTATATACTGCATTTCATATTAGAACCAATTATTCTCTAAACGTTCCATTTAAAACCATTCATACAAAACAAGTTATGAGCATTATAATGTGCAAACACGAGTCACTACATTAAAGCATAAGGATTCTGCAAAGATTCGATCGGAACCGCTGCGTTTTTTAAACCAAGGTAGAGCTCTTTGCTAAATTCCGGAAAATATGCGGATCAACAGCAGTTAGATGGCTATTTTAAATACACCTGAAAATGATTTATTGTGTACAGACTCGACGGGGGAAGGATGGCATATGAGTGAGAAGACTGGGGCGTAGTAGAGGACCGCAGGATATGAAAATGTAAACTATAAATAATCACATCTCGGGATTACCCAGACTGATCAAACATAACTTTGTAAAACATTTGGCTTTCCTTTAGGCAGGGGGGAAAAAAAAAAAAAAAAAAAGCGTAAGGAAAATGATGCCGACTCAGTTACCAAGCACAGAACACTGATATTATAAATGAATACAATTACTAAATTCATTAAGAGATCTGGCGATATATAACAATATTTTCATTATTTACACGTGTAACAATATAACCCTTAGCGCAAACCCTCTCAGTTATTATCTCCCTCCTGTTATCTCACAGACTCACAACCCTGAAATTCCTAAATACATTCAAAGGATTCAGTTTCTCAGGGGCAGGGAGGGGAAGGGGAGGGGGGCGCCCACGGCCTCACTTTTTGTGCAGAACAAGCTCAGGGAACGCACACGTTTTCCCGGTCCCTGCGACCCCACGTTACTCCTCCAGCCCGAACCCCGGCTTTTCTCCGGCAGCAACCCGCAAAGGTTGCCTTTTCACAGAAACCAGCGGGAAGCCTAACGTTAGCTCTTTGTTGCCATCCAAAGCCAGTAACCGAACACCGCTCCGAAATTTAAATAGACCTTCTCCGTGTCTCCGAACCCGCTCCCCATCGTGCCTGGAGAAGAGGATCCCACCTCACGTGTGGATGGTACCCGGCACCCGCAGCGGCGGA